ATCTAAAATAGCAGCCAAAATGAACACAGGTCCACACTTAGATCAGCTGTGAAAGCTAGAGCAGAATCACTCAATCAATTCAGTAACACATCAGCTTCTTTTACTGTCCATGTAGTCAAACACGTGGTTAATGAAGCATCTGTCAGTCACTGTGTGCTCTTTACAGCTCTATACAGCCATGGCAGCATTACTTTTTTTTATTGAGGCTCAATGAATGAGAAGAAGAAAGCTGAAGGAAATCTTAATGAATTCAACTCTGACCTAACCAGCATCTTTTTGACTTCATTAACAGTTATTTTCCCTCAGAACACAGACTACCTGTCCCTGCTTTTAGGTAAATTAAAGAAGAAACACATCATGTTCTTAGAGCTTTGATGACTGTTAGTGCAGCTTCCTGTTCTCACCATGATAACAGCGACCACCAGAGCGGCAATACCGATCAGATAAATCTTATCTGAGAACAATTCCTGGATCCTGTTGTGGCAGCTCTGCAGAGAAAAACAGGGACGTCAGTCAGTGAACCACTCTCATCCGGCTTATTGGTATCTCAGTATCATTTCACAGTTTCAGACCTGATTCAAAAGAGTACAGCTGAAGTGTGATCACTAAGATAAACAGTGTTTAAATACAAATATGATCCAGTTGATCATATATTCACTTCATGCTGAGTGTCTTCATGCTGTGCTTGCTTTAGAACAAGACCATCTCTTCATATTTTTTTTTGATTGTGAGTATAAAGACGTCCCTGTAGCTTTAAAAACATGTCAGTAAACGTCAGTGTGTGGGCGAGCCGGTGATGAGCTGTATGTTTGTGGTTATACATCGGTGAAGCTAGATGATCACACTCACCACTGTGGTTCCACCGGAGGGGCAGAGGTCGGTCACGCCGACCGCGTCCGTTAAGCGTGTGAAAAAAGTAGAGCCCTGTCCTTTACCGCAGCAGATCAGCTGAAACACACACACACACACACACACACACACACACACACACACACACACACACAGACACACAGACACACACACACACACACACACACACACACACACACACACACACACACACACACACACACACACACACACACACACACACACACACACACACACACACACACACACACACACACACACACACACACACACACACACAACACACACACACACACACACACACACACACACACACACACACACACACACACACAGATTATCTTGCTGGTCTTCTTAGTCTGTTCCTCTGCTCACAGTGAGCAACAAGCTAACATCAATTTAGAAAAGTTGAGTTCTTTTGGTACTAAAGACAAACGTGACAGTTTTGTTCTTTAAAGGCAGGGTTGGTCATTTTTTAAAAACTAGCATGATTCTGAAAGTAGCATTTCTGTCTTCACCAAACCCTCCTCAGTTCATCGCCCGATTGAAACTACCTCGTCTCGTGACTCATTGAGTGTGGGATAGTGCACACAAGGGGTAGAGAGCGAGCAGGAGACAGGGAGGCGTGTGATTGGTTCATCAGATTGGTACCTCTTGGCAGACACTGGTCCAAGTTTTCACAGGCTTACTACTGCTACAGAAGACAGATTTTCTTTGTTCCTTTTTCATAGAACTTGAGTTATTAATTTCTGTCAGAACCTAAAGACAATTTACACCAAAATCTGAAAAAAATGTATCTGGAGAAAATGACCAACCCTGCCTTTTTCTGTACCTTCTTTTATCTATTTTTACTTTGCATGAATATTAGAGGTGTAAAGAGTCACTGTTTTTAAAAATATTTGGGGGCTTTTTATGACTTCAAATTGGAGACAGGACAGGGACGGCGTATTCAATCTCATGAGATTTAGACATTTACGAGAATAACGTGAGTGTGAGGCAGCTTACAAAGAAAACTTCAAAGTATCTTGACAATCACCGGAGAAATTCTTCCCTCAGAAACTGAGTTTAGTGGACTTCATATGAAGTGTGTCCGTTTGCACTCTCGTTAGAAAAGAAAGATACATCGGATGTGGGCTATGAATTGAGATTTGGATCGGGTCATCTTGCAAAGGAGAGATGCTTAGTGCAAGAAAGCATATATTTAACTGAATCTAATCTTTCTTTATATTTTACAGTGTATGGCCTTACCGTCTCGTGGAAGACCTTGAGCACAGAGGCAGCCGCCTGCTTCTTATCATCAGTCAGACTTTGTGTCATGGCCTTGTCGTACACCGAGTCGTAGTAGTTCATCATCTCCTTCGACACCTGAAACAGGAAATGACAGGGTTAGATCACCTTCACACTCGTACCTCTCTCCCATGTTTTCTTGTTGTCACGCTCACATTTCTATCAGTCAGGTTCAGTCGCTGCTGTATGATAAGGGCACTATGTCAGATGGACGAGTGCTAATTAATCAGGATTCTGATAAGGCTACGCTACACGTGATTGTAAAAAGAAAACCTGGGTTTTGTTACAGATTTCAAATTCATTCTTGTTCTGAACCAAACCTGAAAAACAGACATGTTTGTGTTTGCTTCGCGACAAATATGCAGTGGCATTTCTCATGCAAGGTGTCATTCATTTGTCAGAATAGCAGTGAAATAGTCAATGTAATATTCAAGAATGGACAAAAGTACATTTCATCACTCAACACTTACAAACTGGTCAGCAACTGACAGGACAAAGGACAGGGGAAATTCATTGGGACATATGGAGGGACGTGTATGATAACCTAGTAAGCTGCCGTTAGATCAGCTCATGTTAGCATCCAACCATTGTTAGAAATATTGACATTGAAATATTGTAAACTTCTGGTTTAGTGGATTGTTTAAGTGCTCGCTCAGAGAAAGAACAGGAGATTCAAATCAAGACAAGTTTTACAAACTTAGAGACTTGTGTCTCTCCAGCTGCCATGTTGTTAAATGATCAAATACAACAATCACAATGTAGAGAATACAAGCTGTCTGATTGAGCAGTAAAGTTAACATTGTTTAAATCATCTTTGATGGTTGATTGGATAACGGTTAATGAAAAAAAATCTTCAGGGTCCATGTTGCTCAAAACGTTTTCTGAGGATAAAAAGGATCCTGATTTGGTGATCAACTTTTTCTTTTCTACCAACGATCAGGTAATCCAGCTCACTTTGGACCAGGTCTTGAATCCTGTTGGATTACTTTTGAACAACGGGGCCCTGGGAATAATTCCAGTCTCTGTGATGGGAATACACAGGAAGTAAAAACTGGAGCTGATAGTTAACTACATCTTCACTGAAGAAATCTGGAGACCTCTGAGACCTCCTCAAACCAACATGGGTTCTGTCTTTTTGAGACATTAGATTCAGAATGCTAAAATGAAGCCAGTGCAGTTATAACCTGTACTTGTTGTCACTATAGTGTGTACTTATATAAATCCATTAGTGTGTGTGTGTGTGTGTGTGTGTGTGGTCTTACAGTTTCTCTGTGCATGAAGCCCCAGATTCCAGCTGCTACTTCACAGGCGAACAGGATGACGAGGCAGGCGAAGAACTGCAGGACACAACACAGACATCACTCAGGTTAACTCTACACAAACTTCAAGATACATTACAATGGAGAAAAGTTCAGACGTATATTATCCTATTTGTCACATATTGATGGGTCCAAATGTCTAATAGGCACAAAAAGTTTTTGAATTTTTCCATCAGATCCGTCAGGCCTGCAGCAGTGAAACAGGCAGTAATGGCTGCAGAATAATCCTGAATAGATTAAATGTCCATCCACTAACACTTCTTGTTTTGGTCAGATGTCAGATTCTCATTTGGCAAGACATGACTTAAAAAGAATGATGTAGAGGTGGCAGACATGTGACAGAGTCTGACGCGATGATGACCTTTTCACCTTTAAATCCATACTACGTGTAGTACAACACAATCACGGTATCAACTGAGGAGTGGATAAACGAACAGGTTCATAACATGAATTGAGATTGAGCACCTGTCCTGCAATACATATCTCATTTCCCTCCCTGAGTTTCTTGAATATTTCCCGCTGTGTCCTGACTGTCCCTCTCACATCAGCTCACCCTGACTTCATGCAGACATTTTTTTTCTTGGGGGGCTGACAGACAAAAATACCGAAATCTGTTTGTGTGAATAGAGCTTCAGACTGATATTCAAATTGTCTGACAACATCACAGAAAGGAATCCGACAGAAAAGACCTGTTTGTTTAAGAGGGAGATTCTTTTCTTTATCAACAAACAGCCGTCACATCACTCTCTATAAACACACCAGACTCCATTCATAAAAATAGTCACTGCATACATCAGGTTAATGTATTTGTGTCATAGTGTTCTTCATATCCAAGACAAATATTTGTGTCAGAACACAAAACACACACAAAATAAAATGATCCCTTTGAGGCAGCATTAGTCCAGCAGCCTCCAGGGACTCCTGTTTTTATCAATGGAGTCTGGTGAGTTTGTAGAGAGTGATGTGACAGCTGTTTACAATCATCTTCCTCTTGAACAAAAAGGTCTCTATCTACGGGGATCTGTTCTGTAATGTTGTCAGACACTTAGAATAACAATCTGAGCCTGTCAGTAACAAAAGCAACTACTCTTAGTGGAATGCACTTTGACCCTTCACAGATTATACTGCAGGCATTACACTGCTGCAGGCTGGTGGAGTCTACTGTATATTGTTACCATGTCTCACTGTTATGTTCCAGGATCAAGTCTGAGCAAATGTGTTCATTTCATCAGAAACTACACTCACCATGGATAGTGAAAATCTGGAGCGGCATCAGGCCATATTATGAGTTACAAATAGATTTAATAACCCAGAACACGGCTAACGTTAGCATTCAGCCACTTCCTCGTCAACATTTACGTTTTTTTTTGTTTTGTTTTTTTCTCATAGTCCACTGCACAGCTTCTACATTGCACCTTTTGTACATTTTGTGTTTTTTATTTTTTATATTTTACATTTTTAAATTCTATTCTATATATTGTAATATCTTCTTATACTGTATTATTTAAGTTGTTGCTAGTTCTGCTTTATTTCCTTGTTAATTGTTTAGCACCAATACACCAAGTCAAATTCCTTGTATGTGTAAATGTACTTGGCAACCCGATTCTGATTCTGATTCTGATTAAGAATCATGGATATGATATGAAAGGCGTTTATCAATTCTAGATATAAACGCTCATCTTGATGACATTTATGGAAGCCTGGAGGTTAAACTTGATGGATCTATTTGCAGCTTAAACGTAACGCAGCCACATGTCAAAATGTCCTTGAGTAAGACACTGAACCCCAGATTGCTCCCGCCGCTACGCCAGGGGTGTGTGAATGAGTGAATCTGACAAGTAGTGTAAGAGCACTTTGTGTAGTGAGAAGACAAGAAAAGTGCTTTACAAGCTGAAGTTCATTTAGCATTGATACTAAATCCATTTTTTGTGTACTTTCTTATAAATTGGGAATCTTTAAAATGAAAACAGTTGGGGGCACTGGCAGCGTAGTGGCGAGTAAGGAGAATGTGGTCCTACAAGTGGCCGGCTCGAATCCGACCTGTGGCTCCTTTCCCACATGTCATTCTCCACTCTCTCTCTCTCTCTCTCTCTCCCTAATTTCCGAAACTGTCCACTGTCCTATCGCTACAATAAAGGCATAAAAAACCTTTGCTCAGAGCTCAAATCTGAGCAAAACAGTTTGCAATGTTCACATGATTTAAACCTGGACTCAACAGTCATACATGATAACAACATCCGAGCTTCCAACCATGAGCCTGACATCACAGACACATGGCTGCCATAGGACTATGATCTATTAATCTTTAAGGTTAAACAAATGTGTTTAGTTCTTCTACATTTTCATCCAATTTTTTTTTTAATGCATTCAAAAATTCCTCCATGTTGACTAGCCTTGTGTATTTATCTTTTCTGTCTTCCTCAGATCATTACCAGCACTGTGTGCTGATCAGTGAAATATTGTAAACTTCTGGTTTAAAATGTGATTCCTGTCATGAAAAAGGTCATTTGGTGTATGAAGGGATGAAAAGGGGAGACTCACAGTTCCCAGAAGACACTGGGACTCCTGGATGGCGCCATAACATCCAAGGAAACCGACCACCATCATCACTGCACCCACAGCGATCAGGATGTGGACACCTGGACAGACACACAGTATTGATTGACATATTAATCCCCATAGTAACAGAAACAAACATGGACAGATATGAACACTGCGGGCAGACGTGAAGCTGTTACAGAAACCACTAAAAGGTTTCTATTAACACGCTGTGGATTCAAAGCTTTGAGTGACATTTAAATACACACATACAGTAACACCTGCTGACCAGCAGAGGGCGCAGTGTTGTTTTGATGCCAGCAGAATAAAATGAGTCACGTTCAAGGGGCAACCTCCGGTCTCGAAAAATTAAGCCTAAATGCCATAAGCTCACAGCCAATAAAGCCCGTTTTTACCACTGGAATCAACATGTTTACAGCCTGGTTCAAAAAATGAGATATATCTGAGAAGTTAACGGCCCCTTCTCCTCACACTGTGGGGGGGGGATTTTTTTATAACTCATCGGATTTTATTCTATTAAGGAAAACGACTATGCCCATATAAGGGTTTTGGGCGATTTGATTGACAGCTCTGCGCGCTGCATCTGTCTGTCAGGTCAGGAGGTCAGGAGGCTAACAGCTTGATCCGTCTGATTTCTCCTCTTTTTTACTTCGTTTGGAGAGTTTGTTTAACACATATCTGACAACATACATGGCTTGCTGTGCGGTTAACAGACCATCCAACAAGTTGATGCTTCAGTTTTCTTCGGTAAGTGATATAGTAGTGTTATATTTACTGTATACTCGTGTCGGTATTTATATTTACGGACCTAGCTTGTTTAGTGTTAGCTTGTAAACCAGTCGACTAACTGTACTCAGTGTAGCTCATTATTTACATTATTTACGGTCAATGGTTTAGAAATGTTTGTTGTTAAGATGTTGTTGTTGAAAATAATGAGTTTGTGTGATGTTAGAAGCTAAAGGTTCTAAAAAATGATTTAATGAATAACTGATATTTTCTCTCTTTCTTTGCCATCCTGAAGACCTCTCACTAAAAGTCCATGTTCTCCTGGATCCATGTCACATGCTCGAGCTTCTTCAGAATGACTTTTCAACAGTCAAAGTTCTGCTGAGAGAAGATGGCCAGCAGATAGGACGGCAGTACATCAACGAGCTCCACAAGCTTCAGGAGGAGGAGGAGGGTTTGCACCTTGGAAGACTGTATTCATGCTGTTCAAATAAAACTAGATCTCCTCCAAACAACTTGCAATCAAACCATTTTCTTCCCATTTTAAACCCTTGGTTCAGTTTAGATGGAAGAAGTTGATATTATGTGATATTGATCAGGGAAGACTACATTTCTAAATCATTTTTAACTGTGTTTTTATTCACAAGTTATTGATCTTATTTACTCTCCATGTATCTTGATTTAAGAATGGGGCTGTGTTTAAGGTCATCATTTTGCAATGACTCTGTTCCATCCCATTTTAAGAAATGAACTACATTAGTATTTATCAAAAGAATAAGAAATTGTGTAAAAGTAGACTTCCTTCTCTTAGCTATTGAGTTGAGCATTAATGCACATTTTAGTCTTGTCATTTCAAATCTGAAATGTATACTCATAAGTAGACATAAAGGAGTGCATTTATATAGAAATATTTATTTAATCTGAAAAACAACATAAAAAAAGTCTGTTTTTACAGCAGAGATGAACCTGTTTACAGCTTGGTACAAAACAAACAAATAGATGTGTGAATGTTTTGATGATTCATCAGTTTTGATTTGATGAAGGATAAGAGTTATTCACAATAAGGCGTGTAGCTGACCAGCTTGACAGGCGGGTGTGGTGTAACGGTTTGTCAGGAGGTTTAAAACCCGTCTCAGCTCTCAGCCTGTGGGTGACATCACTCAGACCTCCCTCACAGCGAGCTGTTGAAGAGAAGCAACCGAAGTCCACCTCAGAAGAACCAACAAATGCAGATGTTGTTGAAGCTCAGGTTTCTTCCTCTGTCTCTGCAGCTCTCTGGGCACCTCGATGGACCAGTCACCAATAATCCACACTGTATCTATAGGAGAAATACAAAGGTGTTCAATTAATGCCTCAGACAACACAAAATGTACAGTTAACTACATGTGACAGCTCAGGCTGTTTTTTTGTTATGAGCCACATCTGCAGGAATAATATTGAACAAGGTAGCTGCAACTCATAATAATAGGTGCCAGTCTTAAATACTATTTTTTCTAATACTTAAAGTTTTTGGTGTGAAGCTGACACTGTCCACAGACTCCATGACTTCACAGGGTTCAATAGAAAACGAATGTCTTATAATAAATACTAAATAATTATTTGTTCAATTGTCATGTTCACCTCATCGCTGTTGACACCAGTAAATATAAAACACAGACATTTCTCTTTTTGTCAGAACAGTAACATGAACTGTATGCTTTGTAATATTCATTTCTTCTGGATGTCTCATATTTATTTACAGTCTATGGATAAAACTTTGTTAATGTAATTCTCTGCTAACACTGACAAAGTCTAACTGCTCTGACAAATAACTAATAACCATGATTGTATATAAGTGTAGTTTTAAGACTTTAATTAAACATTTGGGTTGAATATAATTTGTTTTAACTGTGTTGTAGAAAAGTTAAATGTTAACTTACTGTTTATAGAGTTTTCTCAGGACGAGCAGCAGTAGGGGATGATAGCAGCCTAGCTGTTAGCGATGCTGTCAAGTGGACTGCTAACGTCGAGCTGAATGGGCGGAGTTAAGTCCCGCCGGTCCCGCCTTACTGCTGTTGCTAGGTTGATCCGAAGTTAGGTTGAGACTGCAAATCCAATATGGATGCGGCCGTCGATTGGACTCATTTTCTGCCTATGTAACAGACGGGTCAGGGTTCGTCCAGTAATATTTACAGTCTATGGTCACGTTCCAGTTATGTTCACAGGAAGCTGTTCAGTGATTTCTAACACAAAGAGCCTGCTCCATCATTCATCACACACACACACACACACACCACACACACACACACACACACACACACACACACACACACACACACACACACACACACACACACACACACACACACACACACACATCCCTCTATACTGTTTTGCCTGTTGAATCTCTTATCTATAACCTTTTTTATTCTGAGAGGGAGTGTAGTTTGAAGCCCGCTTGTCCAGTCCAACAGCTGAGTAAAGGAAGTGAAAGATAGGCTCATAAAAGTTCAGGTCAAAGGTCAGGGGTGTAGGGGGTTGGCAGCCTGGGAGGGGGGAGGGACATATTCCCACTGTTGTGTGATTTTATATTCAAATTCAGCACAGCACAAAAAGACAAACTCACACAAACATATTCATGTCTTCAGTAGATCTCTTACATGCTCAGGAAAACATTTTAAACGTTATCTCTTTTTTCATGATGCTTTTCATGTCTGCTGTGCACACTGAGGATCAGTGTAGAATTCAAATGCCTTCATGTTTCATGACAAATTAAATATATTTAAAGGTTTATTTCATATAATATAAGATGAGTACTTCTACTCCTCTGTCGTCAAACATACTCGTATATTTGAATTTGTTCAGGAAAGTTTGCAACCCTAACTAACAAAACTTTAGCATGTGCTGATTTGTAGGGTAGTTTGCTCTCTAACATTTCATTCACTGCATGTCAGAGTGATCCTTTTCTTAGATGATCACATCTGCTTTAAGTCCCTGATGAAAAATGTAAACTCATTATGAACATTTAGCCAGTCATTCCCTCGCTCAGCTGAACTGTATGATGATGGTTTACTATTCTGTACTCTTTTGTCTTTTATTTAGAGAAGTCTGTGAAAGTGCATCAGGCACCTTCTCACTTTAAGTCAGAAGAATTTGTTTCTTTGATTATTTACAAAGACTAGTCTACAGGAGGAGACTAGTGTACAGTTGTTACGTTCCCCAAGATGGCTAGGGGATGAGGGGAGTAACAATAAATTAAAACCCAGGGAAAAGAAATAGGAACTAAATATAAGCAAAGTTAAAAGGGATTTATTAACAAACTAAAGCACAAAACAAGCTTCTTCTAAAAAAAACACCAAACAAAAGAGAAGCCAATCTATCTCAAACACAATTCAAAACTAACAATCAAGATATAAACAATAAGGCCTTAATCTGAACACAATCCACAGAAGGATCACACTCAATTTCTCGACGTCAAAAACACACACAGTCCAACGACCCACTGGCAGCCTCCTCTCTCCTGCTCTTTATAGTTTTGCTCCTGATTAGTAATTAGCCACAGGTATGGCTACAACATGTAACAATAGTATTTAAGACATTACATAATATTGGGTGCCTCGAACATCTATTTTTGTTGCCATGGTATCAAACAGCTGTTGATTTCATTTCATTTTTTACTACAATCATATCTAAATTGAAAACTCTGGTATCATGATAACCGTAGCTTGAATTAAAATAAATATCGTCAGAGGAACTTTTCTTTTGTTTAATACTGAACAATCAGGAGCACCATCAATCACTGAATTGTCCCACTAAATCATTTACAGCATTCCTTTGCTGTACAAATACCGTACTGAAAGAAGCACAAACAGTGATGTCATCGTGTGCTGGTTACCATGGTTTCATGTGGGCAGTGTTCAGACTCAGCATCATCACTCCTGCATGCAAGATTTCAAATGTAACAAGATTTCAGACCACTAACAGTCCTGCATCCATATCTCACTATATTCTACCCAGAGCCACACACACACACACACACACACACACACACACACACACACACACTGAGGCTAATTTCTAAATCGATATCTTGGAGATGGACCAAGTGCTCTCTTAGATTGTAAGTCTCCAGTTTTTGACATGCCCTCCCCACCTCTCTCTCTCTGTCCCCTCCTCTCCTTTGTTCTCGTCGTGCTCCTCCTCGTTCTCTCTATTCAATGCAATCCAAATTATGCTCTCAATAATTCCATTTACTTAAATGTCTCTTCCTGTCTCTCTTAATTTAATCTTCTCTTCCATTACACTCTCTGTGTGCTCTCACTCTGCTCGCCTCCTCTCTCCTTTTCTTCATACTCCTCCTCCTTTTTCCTCGTAC